GTCTGAAGTTCTGTTGCTGCAGCTGACTAACTGAACCCCATTCCCTTGTGACTGTTGTGTCTGCCGGCACTGTGGACCTGCTCGAGCAGTTCGGCAGAGAATTGAAGGTGCTCTGCTCAAAGCATCATCCTCAGCTGGCTGGCTGGGCACACCTCTGGGTCTGGGAAACAGCACAACTGGGACTTCATCTCCTGCTTCCTGGGAGATGCTCTTAGCAGCAGATGGCCACTTCTCCCATTCATAACTCTGGGCTACCTACCAAAGCACTGCTGTCAGCAAGATGAGCAAAGAGCTGGAGGAGAGGGATCTGTTGATGGGAAGCAGAGTTGTGACAGGAGCAAAAAAAAAAATTAAAACAATGGGAGATCCATATAGATCAGGTATGCCACAGCATTATATCAGGTAATGCAGTTGCATCCGTATAGATTGGTACAGTGCTGATATCAAGACTATATTTATAGTCAGAGGTTGCTTCAACGATCAGTTCATCAAGAAACCCATGACAGGGAAGGTGGGTCGTGACTAGGTTCAGAGCAATGCACAGGGCTTAGTTGATAATGTGATTTCTTTCAAAGAGCAGCTCTGAAATCATGATGTGACAAGTCAAAAGAATAGTGAACAAAACAGTAGTATGTTATCACTGCAGAAATACATGCTTCACCCACATCTTATATATTGTCTGGTTGTCTGTGGAAAGTAGAACTAGAGATAGGGAAGGTGAAGGTCAAAGAGGATGACCAAAGATGTTAAATAGCTTCCCTGAGAGGAACATGTCGATGTGTACGTCGTCATGATGGACAAGAAATGGCTAAGAGAGAGGGAGCTGGAAATAATAAAGATTTTTGTAAAACCATTAAGTGGCTGAATGTTTCCAGTCTGTCTCAAGATCAGAATGGAGGATAATGACAAAACTAGTGGGAAGCATGTCCAGAAAAAACACAAAGATCTGTATGAATTTCCAACCCAATAACCACAAGATGACAGGATGATTCAGGCTGGCAGGGACCCCAGGAGGCCTCTAGCCCAATCTTCAGCTCAAAGCACCTGGGCTCAGCTATGGGATCAATCCGGGTTGCTCAAGGCTCGACCCACTTGGGCCTTCCAAGTTCCCAGGGATGCAATCTGCACAACCTTTCTGAGCAACCTCCTCTGCTGCAGGATTGCCTTCATGGTTCCATTTTTTGTTCTCTTCAAAGCCAGCCTGAACCTCCTTCTTTCACCTTAGGCCTGTCATCAGGTCTACTCTGGTCAGCTTTGGAATGATTCTTTTCAAGAGCCATAAAGAAAGTACAAGGAGGCACCTCTGCTGTGCGTCAGCAGGGAGCCAGACCTGCCCACGTGCTCCCTTCACCAGTCTGTGCTACACATGCTGAGCAGACAAAATCCATTCTTTGAGGGGGGCCTCCCACTGTCCGGCAGCACGCCCACCCCTGCCCAGAGGAAGCTTTAATGCTCACAGGAGCTCCTGGTCACGACGTGCTCTCTCCATCCTCTGCTGCTGCTCCACCCTCTCCCCCTGGGCTGCATCTTCCCTCAGCTGCAGTTCAGTGTTACTCTGACGCAGACGCGAGGCTTCTTGCTCCGTCTCTTCAAGCTGTTGCTGTAGCTCTGCCCTGGTTTTCTCGACGTTTGCACAGTCACTGCAAAGACAAGGCTCAGTCAGAAGGACGGACAGGCCTGAAGCATCACGGATCCCATTTCAGTCACTCCAGGCTGACGCTGTGGGCAGCACGGTAAGGAAGAACTTGCCCTTCCCCTCACAAGGCCACTGGAGAGGGACACAGGAAGGCAGGCAGGCTTTTGCCCTCATTCACTGGGAAGCCGTGGCTAGGAAAGAGCCCCCAAAGAACAGAATTCAGAGAACCAGCATGTCTAGAGGGAAGCATCTTGTTTCAATATCGCTCCGAGTCTCCAAGACAGCATTAGGATTCAGAGGAAAGCAGGAAAAGCAGTGACAGGAGGATGCTGAATGGCCAAACAGGGGCATACATGGGGAGGGCAGGCGAGTTCTTTGCCCATAACACTCTGAACTCCCAGGACTGGAAGCAGATTGCCTCCAGAACGCAGGAGGAGGAGGGGACACTCACCTTCTGAGTGCTTCTACCAGCGACTGCAGGTGCTGCTGGTGGCTGCTGGCTGTCTGGCATTCCTGCTCCAGTTGCTCAAGGCTTTGCTGCAGCTTCCTGCACTTCTCTTCCTGCTGCCTGTGCTGGTGCAGCAGGACAGTGATGGAGTCCTGCCTGGCAGAGAGCTCTTCTCCCCCGGACAGGCACCCCCCTCAACGGGGAGAGGCCACCCCAGCAGTGGGGTTTCCAGGGTCCATACCAGCCTGCCTGCCCTGAGCTGGGCCAGCACAGCAGGTGGGGGTGGTCGCCCATTGCAGGGGGCTTCAGCTGGGCAGGAGGGCAAGTTCGGATCGGGTGTGGTCCTGCGAAGCACTGAATACGCAGCTAGCTGCACTCCCTCTGCTCACCCAGTGATAGGATGAGCACCAGTTAGCAAATCCTGGGAGAAGGTCAAATGTACTTGAGCTGCCAAAGGCTTTGCTAAGCCAAGAGCTCTCAGGGCTTTCCCAGCAAAGCCAGTCCAGTAATGAGCAGCACAGATAGGCACAGCTGTTGCTGCCCTCCCAGGGAGTGTGTGGAAGCCATTTCACTGGCACCATGCGGATGGCACAAGGTGGTGAACCAGTTGCCAGATGAGGGACTTCCTACAGTACTAGTTCATATCTTATTTTTCTCTCTTGACTGTTAAGGCTGTCTAGATAATGATCTCCAATACAGTGGAAGCCTAAATATAATTGAGATGGATTCAGCTGTATGTATTCTAACATAGCTAAAGCATCATTACAAATGTATGCAAACCCGAAAATACTCAGAACTGGGGGTAGCATGTTTTGGGAATGAGCTCTGAAAACCTGCTTTATATGAAGTGGCTGTAGGAGGTCTAGTTTACTGATCAAAAGATGAAGAGAGAAGTTAATTTAAAGCTGTAAATTCCTTTCAAATGAGACAAAGATAGAAAAGAAATTTCTGAAACTGCAGCTAGAAAGTTTCACCCTTCCATATACAGCACTGCTCCTGTCTTGACTTTTCATATCTTCCTGAACTAAACTGCTGCTCCATAAGAACTGAGAGTTTCTATTTGTGTGTAAGCACCATATCGGACTCAGTCTCCAAAGGGACTGGCTCTCAGAGTCACAGCAAACAGCTGGATGGCTCCAACCAAGTTCTCTCACACCCCTCCAGTCCTCCTGTGCCTGGGGTGTGGGACACGGTGGGAGCAGCTTGGAGCACTCTAAGGCTCCTGTGTCCTACAGCAGAAACAAGAGTTCTCCAGCCTTGCTAGCAAAATGCTGCAGCCTCAGCTGGGCTGTCATCATTGAACTTGATTCCCAGTGTCCCGGCTTCATTCTTGCCTGTAGTGTTTCAGGTGAACTTCTTGCATAAGGTTTCCTGAGACTCTTGTTCCAGATCTTCACTGTTTAGAGACTACTCAGATCCCAAGACAACTGGCTTTCCATTGATTCCAAGCAACATCCAAAAATGCTGTTTCCTTTTTCATGTTGTGCCTGGCTTTCCCAACCTACCAGATATGCATCATTGCAGCAGCCACGCTGGAGGGAAGGGATGTGCCATCCAGAGGGACCTGGACAGGCTGGAGAGGTGGGACATGCAAACCTCATGGAGTTCAACAAGGCCAAGTCAAGGTCCTGCACATGGGTCAGGGCAATCCCAAGTACGAACACAGGCTGGGGGACGAGTGGATTGAGAGCAGCTCTGAGGAGAAGGGCTTGGGGGTATTCGTGGACGGAAAACTGACTGTGAGCCAGCAACGTGCGCTTCTGATTATATTCTTCTTTAATGCTTGGCTACAGACACACACTAACACCTGAAGCACACACCCTGTGATCACATTGGCACCCACAGATGTTTGTCATTTGGATGCAGCACTGCTGCTGAACTCTGGCCAACCAAAGTCCCACCCAGTGTTGCAGGAGGCAGCAACAGAGTCCTTCTCAGGAAAAACTCAGATCTCCTACTTGATTAAAAGTGGGAACTCAACATTTAGCTGGTTTTGTGGCCTACTGGTGAGCTAATCAATGCTCCAATAGCACAGAACCTGACCCAGCAGTATGGGACAGGTAATAGGATGGCATGGTTGGGGGGGCCATGGTGATGGCATGGAGCAACTGCTGGAGAATGGTTTTGTCAGAAGTTACTCAGCAAAAAGCTGCTTTATTTTGATGGGGAATATCAAAACTACAACTGACATCAGAAGAAGGCCCATTAAGGAGGGTGAGTTTTTGGATCTACCTTATTTGTGACATCTGTGATCTCTATCCTCCATCAAAACAAGGTAAAGCATTCAGAGCTCCTTGTGTTATTCATGAAAGTAGTTAGGCGTTTCTGATACCAGTCAGGGTGGAAAATGCTCCAGCATGCACAAATCAAGCTGAAAAGTGGTGTATCTCTTCCCTTTCTGCTTGCCTCAGAAATAAAAACAGCTGAAGGAGGAGGACTGGGTTTAGCGTCAGTGCAAGATGAGAGAAGGGTCCTGTTAATCCCTGTTCAATCCAGCCCAGTGCCTCATTTCCCGAAGGCTCATTTAGAACAACAACAGCTCATTTTTTGCAGCTTATGAAAGACACACTCGCTCCACATGCTCTTTTGTACCACTGAAAGCAGCAGGACAGACTTGACACGTAAGTAACGCTGATTTCTAACTACCAGCCTTGTGGCCATGAGGGTGGTGGCTCTTGGAAGTTGTGCATCTAATTTTAAAACAAAGTCTGGTGTTGAGCAGCCTCTGGAGGAAGGACTGGGGGTTCGGGGTGTCTCCAGAGTGGCTCTGGCCGGAGGAGGCTGCCTGCCTGCAGGGTGCACTGCTGCCCCGCACTGCGCCGCCGCCCACCCTGCGGGCATCCCCACCCGCAGAAGCTTCTTCTCCAACTGGGCTTATATGCATTTTTTTAAAGCATAGCAGTAAATATGCCAAAATACACTGACTGTGGGCATGGCCATGTTGTGTTTGTGAAAAATTAAACTTTAAACTTATTAAGCGCCTGCGTTACTAGCTCAGCCCTTCAGTCACTGGAGTACAAAGTGAAGCCACTGTTACAGTTCTCTGGAAAAGAGCTAAATTAATTATACTTAGATATTTTAATGTATGTGTCCAGTGGACTGTATGACAGGTCTCAGTTGTTGATCTTGCAGTTTGTCCTGTTTAAATGTGAAGTTCAGTGAAGGCTAAGGTAGAGGTCGTATTGCCACTTGAAAAGGCATCCTCTGGAGTTTTGAGCCTGTGGAGCTGTTTCACATGAGGCAGAGTATGACTCATGCTAATGAAAAGGGCAAAGAAGATTTTTTTAAAGAAATATATCGCAGTTAAATTAGTTTAGACAGCATGACATCAGAGAGTAATTAAATAGGTTTGTTGGAATTCCGTTTCCAATTCCTGAGTTCAGGTTTGTAAAAGATTTCTGAGCACCTGCAGGTCTCTGTGTGTGAAATATTTTCACTGGAAAGGATTCAAAACTTTAAAAAAACCTTTTAACACAGAGGCAGCATTACGCCATTCTTCCTTCTTGGAAAAAAAACCCCTTGGATTTAAACAGGACTCCTTCAAGTTTTCAGTCAGTTTTACAGAAGAAAACGAGGTGGTAAACTTTCTCTTTTCAAGAACAAGTTCTTTATAGCTGCTGACTGAAGTCAGGGGAGCTCGTATCTGGGTACATGAGCATTTCCACTATGGGACTGGATACAAGTATTGAACAACAAGATTTGAAATGTTTTAATCTCAAACAAAACCCCTTTTTGCTGACTTTGGTTTTTAATTTCTTTCATGTTTTCTTCTGCCAAACTGGAGGAACCTTTTCTGATTTTTTCTTTAGTGGCATTCAGAGGAAGACCAGAGGATGAAAATCCTGCATTTTCTCACTTTACTGCTTTGGCATTTGACTTGGCTGTCTCTGGATCTCGTTCCTGGAGCGCTGAGTAATTCTGAAGCAGGTCAAAGTAATCCAGGATCTAAACTAGGTTTTTTAAAAGCAGAAGGAAAAGAGAGGAATCCTTCAGCACGGGCAGGTACACTGAGGACTGCAAGCCATGGATATAGTACTGGGACCTCAAAGGCTAGGACTAAAAGCAGTGCTGTTCAGGCTGGAGCTCTGCTGGTCAAGAACGATGAATCAAAGAAGGTTCTCTCAAGAACAGCAGCCACGGAGGGCAAGGTAGGACAAGTCCCCAGCAGACCTTCTGGAGTAAGGACAGTGACTCCAAAGGTTCAAAATCTTAGCAGCAAGGTGGCTTTGAAAAAAACTGGCACAAGCAATACTGACACTGATTCTTTCAAAACCAAAAAGACTAAAGAGCCTGTAACCCAGAGGGAAACTAAGGAAACTTTCAGACATCCCCCTATAACGCCACATGAATACATGCTCTCTTTGTACAGGACTCTCTCAGATGCAGAAAGAAAAGGTGTTAATGGAAGTGTAAAACTGGAGGCTGGACTTGCCAATACAATAACCAGCTTTATAGACAAAGGACAAGGTAAGAAAGGAGCTCGTGTGTGTGTGTGTGTGTGTGTGTGTGTACACAGAGAGATGTCTGAGTGTTTATACATGTAGAGAGTATTAGAAAATAATCATACTTTGTTAAAGTCAAATAGCTCTTTTTAATGTAAATTAAATCGTACATCTTTGCTGCAGATTTTGTCCTTAGAAAAAAATCTTAGAAAATTCATTTAGAGGCAGCACTTGATGGTTGTGTGGCAGCCAAACAAAACATTTAGAAAATATTTTAGATGCATATTGTTGAAAGTCAATCAATCTTTGCATGCTTAGGCATTTAAAAATCTTTTAAATTTTTGCCTTATTTTCTTTCCGTAACTAGCTCCTGGAAACTGTTGACATTAGAACTGTATTGTAAAGTATGTCTAAAAACACATGATATGCTAAGAATGGGGCTATTCCGTGACAAAAACACGTTTCAGTAATCAAAGTGTGAGCTTGAATTGTTCAAGGTAGAATCATGAGGAACTACACTGTAGACCCAGAGTCATTATAGCATAGGTATCTGTGCCAGCTCGGAGCTCATGCTTTCAGGTACCACCAAACTTCTGTCCATAGAAGCCCACAGCTAAGCACAGACTAACAAGAGTAATAACTTCTGGGACTCCAGAACTTGCTGCTCAACATTCTGGTTCCAAACTTTGTTTGAAATTTGGACTAGTGTCTGCTTTCACACAAGAAATAACCAGGCTCCCAAAGAATGATGTTCACCTTACTGCTCTGGTTGGAGAGCCCCATGTTGCTTCCAGTGATTTGTCATGTACTTGGAGAAGCAACACAGGCTACAGCTGATAAAGTAATAGCGATGGAAGACTCACCCAGGACTGGATTTGTTTGCCAATTAATTATGAATAGCTTGGCTTCTGGGAAGGGATGATACACTGCTCACAAGTGCTGCATTCAGGTTCTCAGCTAGCCAGTGGAAGGCATTGTTAATGTAATGTCGCTAAAACCTTGGCTCAGCCATATTCCTTGTTAGTGTTGCTTATGAGCTTAACCAAGCAAAGTAACTTCAGGTTAAAGGGAGGTATGTTTTTCTGCCCAATTTGAAAAAGTTGTGAATCATGTGGAGTTAAGTTAATAAGGCAATTATCCTTGTGTCTGGCAGTTCCTGGGGGTTGTTGGTTTTAAAGGACTAATTCACTATTGTATCGTCTAAGGGTAAATTTGCTCATGTTTGGAGCCAGCATGAGGCCTGGGCAGCACTGAAGCTCTGTTTCAGTAATTTAAGTAGGATATAAGTGGTGAATAGGCCCTGTGAGTGCTCAGCCCTGAAAAAGGACTATTTTTCAATTGGCTAATTGCTACTTTGAAGCTAGGAAATGCCCGCCAGTGAAAGAAATGAGATTTCTACAAGGCAAACTCAGAAACTCATTTCCCTGTTGAGTCACTGGGCTCTTCTGGGTCCCTGCACAGAGCTTGATCCCTTAGACAAAAATTATTCTTTCTGTTTGGTGGGCTAATTAAGGAAACTTCCAGACTTATGAACAAACTTCAGGAAAACCATTAAGAATTGAATAACTGATCTTGATCTGTGCTTGATATACATTTTAAAATGTATGTGCTTTTTTTAGATGAGCGAGCGCCAACTATAAGAAAACAAAAATATATTTTTGACATCAGTGCATTAGAAAAAGATGGTTTGCTGGGAGCAGAGCTTCGAATATTGAGGAAGAAGCCTTCTGATACGTGGAAGTCTCATTCTTCTGGAAAAACTTCCCAAGTGAAATTATTTAGTTGCTCTACAAACAGGCAAGCAGCAACACTTCTGGACTCTCGTCCTGTCAGTATCACAGATACACCAAAATGGGAAGTGTTTGACATCTGGAAACTTTTCAGGAACTTTAAGAACTTGGTTAACTTGTGTTTTGAACTGGAAACTTTTGACAGGGGAAGAGCCGTTGATCTCAGGAGTGTGGGATTTAATAGAACAGGAAGACAGGTCAATGAAAAGGCTCTCTTCTTGGTATTTGGGAGGACGAAAAAAAGAGACTTATTCTTCAATGAAATCAAAGCTAGATCTGGCCAAGATGACAAGACTGTTTATGAGTACTTATTCAATCAGAGGCGGAAGAGAAGAGCTCCTCTAGCAACACGGCAAGGGAAGAGGCCCACTAAGAATCTGAAGGCAAGGTGTAGCAGAAAAGCCCTCCACGTGAACTTTAAGGATATGGGCTGGGATGACTGGATAATAGCCCCTCTAGAGTATGAAGCCTATCACTGCGAAGGGCTCTGTGAATTCCCCCTTCGATCCCATCTGGAGCCCACCAATCATGCAGTTATCCAAACCTTAATGAACTCAATGGACCCAGAGTCAACACCCCCAACTTGCTGTGTCCCAACTAGGCTGAGTCCTATTAGCATTCTTTTCATTGACTCTGCAAACAACGTGGTGTACAAGCAATATGAGGACATGGTGGTGGAGTCATGTGGTTGTAGGTAGCAGAACAGTTGTTCACATGAATATGTTATGAAAGGTAATATGACACACTGAACATAACCTCTCCTCAAACAAGGTTAACTAGATTTCTTATCTCTAGGGTAAGTATGTTTACAAGGATGTAGCAATAAACCCAGTGCTTCTATATGTCTCTCCACCATGGGCATATTTCAGTAGCATTGGGATGCTGTCATGCAGCCTGATATAAGGCCTTCTGTCAGTGACATGAGACTAGCTCTATCTGAAGTCCATGACAGAGAAGATTGTATCTCCACACCTCTAGATCACCTGCTTTTAGCCTCGAGGTGGTGGGTAAAGATGGTATCAGTGAGCTGTGGATATGACCTCTTCGATCCTTTGAACAATGTTCTTGACACTGAAATTATGTCTGAGTTCCATGTGCTTTGTCCATTAAGAAATGTAAGAAAAGAGTCCTGATGTCTAGAAGAGAATGTTGTGTTCTGGTGTGCTCCCATCTTGGTGTAAATAGTTACACTGTAATATGATTTCTTTTTGATTAGCTCTTGAAACTATGCATATATAAAAAAGGAGTCATTAAATATAATATGTTGATTTAGTTTTAAGTTTTACATGGAGATAGATGATGCAGGAGGTATTTGCTTCCATGTATGTTTTCCTCCAAGCTACATATCTTTCTTAAGTATCCACCCTTCCATTATTATGTAGCAAGATATATTACTCTGTATAAGGTCCAAGTTGTTCTCAAATGCTCATAGTAAAAGTGTTCAATTATGGCATAAGATGTAATAAATTATTGACACAGTGCTACATTGTGTCTAGCTGTCCAACTCTGCATAATTGCAATGCTATTAAGAAATTGTTTTTTAATGGTTTTGTACAATAAATACAAGTGAAAGGGATTTTTCAGTGCAGCAGAATACCAGTGGTATGCAAAACATGTCCATGTATTTTGCTTGCCTCTAATTCTGCGGCCACAGGGAGAAACTGTGGAAACACTGGAAGAAAGATCTGAAAATATGGCATGGTTTGATCTGCTGGGGAATGACACTATCACTCGATGTATCTGGGGCAAAAATGAGTTATGCAGATGATTGCAAAAGAGCTCTGGTATCCTTTTATTCCAACCTCCAAGGGCTGTGTGTTTGCATATCTGCTTTATCTATTCTAGACATGGATTATAAATTTATTGTGCGATTACTCTGTATATGTTTCCACCTACAAAACTGGTTACCAGATGTTCAACTGTAGACAGATCAGAAAGGCCATAAGAACCATCAGAAATTGTTTAAGTAGCTTATGAATAGTATAAATTATAAATGCTAAGGTTTTATATTGTTTCATCACAGTTTAAACCATCAAGTCACATGATTTCCTGGATTGGAACTCTCCTCTACACAGCATCGCTGGTGTGGGTAGTGGCAGGGAGCTGAATATGGCCCCTGAGTCCTCCTGGTCAGTACCCCAGACTGGACACTCTAGCTCACACTAGTGACAAACCATCCTCAATTCCTTGTCAACAGCTATAGCGAAACAGTGACAAAGAGCTCTGCCCTTCCTCCTGCTCTCTCTACGAAGCTGAGCCTTTAATCAGCTTAAAATACCTGGTTAAGTGGCCTTGCTGCCAGACACATGGAGCTCCCCTGTGTGGGCAGACCTGTCAGGTACCATAACCTGTAGCATGGTGATACAGAAAAAGCACTGCAGGGAGCTTTCATATGTACAATCTCTTGGTGATAGCTCAGCGCCACGATCTCTGCCTGCAGGAATTGATACTGCTTGGGGCAGGCCATGTGATGACACAAAAGAAGGTGGGTCAGAATGCTGTTACTTGACAGGAAGGCGAATCACTAACAGGTAAACAGGCATGTAGAATGAGGAGCACTTGAAGCTGCTTTGTAAGATGTACATGAGAAATTCTGGCATCTTAGGGATCTATTCTGTGGGCCAGAGCTGTTCCCAGGGCTCATCGGTCTCCCTCCTGGACTCTGGACGTGTGTGCTTCCCAGGTCCTGCTCCTCCTCGTCCCAGTGAAGTCTCGGGCCAGGACCAACAGTCACTGTCCCCTGACTAACTGCTTATCACCAGCCAGTCTCATATGACTTCCAAAGCAACAAGGAGTACTACAAGCTTATTTAGATATGATTTACCATTGCTACAAACATTCTTCTGCCAAGTCCACAGCCAAGACGGCATCTCAGACATTTTTTGCCCATTCTGTTTAAGCAGTTCTTTTCTTGCTCCTGGCTGTTTTCTAGGTGACTGTCCTGCAGCTTTTAAGGAAGCACTGACCACAGCTACTTTCTGGGGAGGTTGGCTAGATGACCATGAGAAAGAGCCATCTCCTTTCTTCCTTGCATGAGAGTGCTGCTCCCCATGCACATGCCTGTCTGCACATTCCCAGTGAAATCCCTGTTCTCAAGTATGACATATACAGCTGTGACATGCCATTTATTAACGACAGGCACATTCCTCAATGGCTAAGCGTGATCAGTTTAAAATCACCTGTTTAAATTCACTTGAAGCAAATCTAAGTTGTCTTAATAGACAAGTTAACTTCTGGGATTATAACTGCCTGAAAAGAGCAGTTTTCTTTAGTGCCAGCTGGATTCATGAGATGCTGCAACAGCTTTGGAGGAAGGTAGCATTGATACTACATGCAATGCCTGACAGTTTGGAAATCTGAGGAGGAAAATTGCTATACACTTCCCACTGCAGAGCTGTTGATCAGCCTGAGGGTCCTGGGGATGCTGGTCATGATAAAAAGTTCTTAGAACCTAGTAGGTATCTCTCTACAGTTCTTGTTTCCTGACCTTGTATGAATTTTACAATACATGAATAAAGCATGATAAAGATTCAGGTAAATAGTAAAATGAAATTGAATATGTATCAGCATCAAAATGGAAAAAAAAAAAAAGCTAAGATTTTGCAATTATCCCTAAGCAAACAGTATGAACTGAGGAAAAATTAAAAGAAATACTGACATACTGAAGCTTTTTAAAGCACCCTTTGGTAATGGTTCAAAAACCAAAATTCTGCTAGGTAGTAGTTATACCTTGAAAGGAAAAAAAACCCCAAAACACTAGTAGGTCTTTAATATCAATTTAACCACATTTGAAACTACAGATACTAAAATGCTAGAATTATAATGGATTATTACTGCATCAAAATTGCCAGATATTGCATTTGGCCTAAACAGAAGCAATTTCAGCCCAAGTGCTGAGGTTAGGAGGTAAGATGACATTCACTTGGCTTAGGTGGTAGCTCAGATGTGGTAACATCCAGAAGAGATGGTCCTGGCACTACCCAAGTTTGGTCCAGCTCAAAGTGAGGAGTTTATAATGGTGGCCTTAGCAGATGGTAGGATTAAGGTAGTTTTTTTACTTTTAACTCTTAAATTGAATTTTCTTGGTGATGTCCAAAGTATGCTTTTGCATTTCAGTTACGGAGATTGTTTGATAACTCCAGTTCAACGCTATTTTATGCTGGAGTGGCCTATTGACTTTCACCATGGTGTAAATATATACCAGCCTATAGGTGCTTTAGTGGTGTATTGTTTGAGCCATTGGGATCATCTGGCACAGCCTTCTGTCTCTGTAATAATTATAAAATACTTACTGAATGGTTATGATCACTTAAATCTACAGTACTGAAGGGAGTGACCTCTTTCACTGCTCTTCTCAAAGCAGTTTTTTAGTTCACCCAAAATTTCAGTAGCAACAAAAAGATGCTGCCACAGTGTACTGTTTGTTTTGTTTTGTTTTCCTGAATTCCACATAATCCATTCCATTTCCACTCACAAACCATTGCAAATCTTGTCAAGGCTTTACATGGAAACCTGTAATTTCAGTTATCTGGTGTGAGAACAGAAACAGGTATGGAAACTTCCTAAGATATGTAAATGGTGGCCATTACAAACATTCATAATCACCAATAGGCACAAAAGCACAACCCAGGTGGACTTCACTCAACCCTCACTGCTCTCTGAAAACAGAGGTTTAGGGATAGGGCACAGTCTGGGGCTGACACACAGCAAAAAAAAAATGGAAAGGAACAGAGGACCTTGAAATTGCAAAAGTTTGGCACTACTTTCTTTACCCTGGTGATTATATAAAGTGCAAAGATAGACACCCTAAATTATTGTTACAGCTTTCTTCCCATGGGTGAATTGGTGTTAGCAACTGGATGGTAGAAATGTACAGAAACCTGAGCTGTAAAGCAATACAGGTTAAAAGTTCAGCTTTCCACCTTTATGATGGCAGGTTTCACTCTCTCACTGAGAATGCCTCATTTGTATTTACTTTTTAGGGTCATTATCTGTCCCATGAGAGTCTTTGTGAAGGTCCAAATTTCAAATAAACAGTACACTATAAGACAGGTATGTGTGGATAATTTTTGTTGTATTTGGCTAAAATATGGGTACTAAGCTCAATAGGTAAACATAAAAGTATGCCATTTAAAACAATGCATTCCCATTAGTGTTTGAATATGTGCCTAAACTCCATGTACACTTTTACATGGTTATGTCATTTCCTGTGTAAAATGTGCTTGTTTATACAGCAGCCATATGAAAGATGCAGTAACCCACTATGTGGGCTATTTGAAGCTTTCTTTAAGAAACATAAAAACCCCTTGACCCTTGTATAATAAAAGGTGTTAAAAGATACTGCTTTTATAACATCTTAGCCAAGACTAATAAGAATGTACAAAGCAAACAATTTTTTTTTACTCCATAGTTCTGGTCAGTCGCATGTTATTTTATGAATTTACTGTTGCTGTTGGGTAGTAAAATGATATTTAAAAATAAAATTGCATGAGATTTCATTGCTTCTCAACAAATTTAATAAACAAGGAAATCTTAACATTTTTTGAAAAATAGTAAACATGGTGCAGTAAATATACTTTGCTGACTGCTCAGAATAGTCCATTTATTCTGTCAGCCCAAATTCACTGATGTCCCTATTTTACTGTTTTGGTGTGTTTTTTTTTCTTTCAGAACTAGTTTCAACTTTCTGCAATGATTTGGCTAGCTGAAGTAATGCAAATGGGTTCAGTTTTCCCTGATGTCATTTTGAAGGGCACAGCTGTCAAGAAAAAATGACTTTGTTAATAATAATAGTGATTAATTGGCTGACCCTCTGCTAGGGGACAGAAAATGTTCTTTTCACTGTTTTTTCTCTGAGAGTCTCTTTATTATAATATCTTGTGCCAGGCTTTGCCATCCAGGAATCCATGCTGAGCAGACTCTGCCCACTGTACTGCCAGAGAAATGCCATTAAATGAGGGCAATCCTGCATGTCCAGTTACTGTCGGTCTGTTTTTCACAAGGTGCCATTTATCATGGCAAAAAGTGAGAAATAAGCCTTTTATTGATAAAATCAGACACGTTTCATTTTGCTCATGCAAATGGCTTCGAAACATTAATCTTCCTCCAGAAATGTTGAAAGAGAAACACAACTTGGGTCCTCCATGGGCTTAGAGAAGGGGCTGTATATCTTCATGGGAGCTCTCTTTTCTGCAAAGATGCAATAGGACTCATAACATTTAGATGTCAAAGAAGTCATTAACTCGTATGGTTAGTGACCAGATTACAGGAACCCAGCTAGAGAGGGTAAAAGGCTAATGGCAGTGCATGGAGCAGCACATGTCGCAGGAAGAGGTGCTCTGAAGAAATACTCAAGGGAATGTGGCTTGGGAGAAAGGCTTCAGGGAGAAGCTGCTTTCGGGGGGAGGCAGATAGGCAATCCCACAGCAGCACAGGACAGGAGGGGCTTGGGACTGGGTGAAAGAT